GACGATCGCGCGCGAGCAGCATGCGAGCGGCGTCGTGGATCCGGACGTGCAGACTGGGCTGGGGGTGCTGTATTATAATAGCGGGGATTTCGAGAGGGCGAAGGACTGTTTTGAGAGCGCGTTGACCGTTAGGCCGAAGGTGAGTGCCTCGGCTGTGAAATCGTGTTTGGATTTTTTCTGAGGTGGGATTGATGTGGGTTCCGCTTTTCAGGATTATTTGCTCTGGAACAGGCTTGGGTCAGCCCTTTCGAACGGGAATAAACCTGAAGAGGCACTGTGGGCGTACCGAGAAGCGCTCCAAATGCGGCCGACGTATACGCGAGCCATATACAACGTCGGCGTTGCTTGTAAGTCATATCACCGAGGATATTTATGGAGCGTATTGGTTCGAACGCAACGCTGATGTGGATATCGTGTAGGCTTGAACATCGGCGCGCACAAAGAGGCATCTGAACACTTCCTGAGTGCGCTGGCGTTGCAGGATACCACGGAAGGAGAGAAGAGCGAGCAGCTTTGGTTTACGTTGCGGCGGGCTCTTGTGGCTATGGTACGTCTTGTCTCCTTTCCCTCCTGTGCGATCCTGACGAGAACTGATCTTACTTATCTGCGACCAACAGAACAGGGAAGATCTGGCAGACAAGGCGAAGGCGGGAGGCGGGCTGGACGTGTTCAGAGCTGAGGGGTTTGATTTCTGAGGGTTGAGAGGTTATTTAGATGTACTGAACGATTTAATGCTTTGCAATAGATTATTTCTATCTTCACTGGCGTGGATTTCCTGTCTTGGTACGTTTGGGACGCGCCCACCGCCACGTGCAGGACTGTAGTCGACAGAATCGCTAATTTCCGAGTCGGTGCTTTGCTTGTTATTCAACGGAAAATGACTGCATCGCCATTTTAATTCAGGTATTATATACATACTTTCAAGCACTAAAATGGACAGTTGCATGACTTTGTGCTCCGAGAACACATATTCACTGGCAGAAGGAAAAGCGGCTGCTAGTCACAGGGCCGTGAATGCCAACGTCACAAAAGTTACGTCAACCAATTCCGAGTCCGAGTCCATTGACATATGCAGAAAAATCGTGATAAAATTTGTCCTTCTCGAGACCTTTCGATCTTGACATCCCGCTTCTATCGCTGGAGACTGGCCGGAACGCCCATAACGGTATAACAAGAAGAATCCAGGCTCCTTCCCTTTTACGATCTCGTGCCAGTGGTGCTCGGAGACGACGTTGCGCGACAAGGGACTCGGATGGGCCACGCGGCAATCCGTGTATGAAGGAATAGTCAATATCTGTGACATTGCATCCCATCCCGGCAGCATCTGTTGAGCAAACCAGGCGCGTGTGGCCCTTCTTGAGCCTTTCCCCCCGCAACACATTTCCTTCCTCACACATTCTCGGGCTGTTTGGATAGAAAACTTGAATACAATCACGAAGATGCTCAGGCAGGCATTTCCGAAGGGTTTGAACTGCCAGATGACACTCCTTCACGGAGTCGAAGCGAAATAGGCATATCGGGATACTGGGGCGTGGTGTATCATTACTCGGAGTCTGTGCTAGAATCTTGAGCGCATCAAGAATGGCTCGGGGGTTCTCCTTCAAGTTGTCGAGGAGGACGCGCGGTAGAAAAGGGGGTTTGGGTCGTTCGGAACCAACACCGACACCCCAGATTGGTAGATCGCCGCCGAAGCCAATGCGGTCCCGTAACACGTCGAAGGTCTCCGTTCCCGGCTTTGCCATGAACATAGGCAACACTGCTCCCATCCCTGTCATGGTGTAAGGTAACAACTTGTTTAATTCCTTGGATATGACAGCTTGAGCACGAGATCTAACTTTCGTGTCAACCCAGAGCGATTCAAATGACATGAAATCGGAAAGTGCCATGTACTTACTTCGTCGTATCGAAAGCGGGTAATGACTCGGAGATGGAGCCAGAGTGCTCGCCCGACCATGTATTTATCATATTACCAACGGAATACTGGAAGTTGACACAAACCACGAGAACTATCTACGACCTTCTGCGACCATCCACAGGATTCGACCCTGACTATATGCGCTCGTATTTCCCATGCAACATATTATTAACACCATCTCGATGCTTTGATGGGCGCAGGAATGTACGTTTGCCAACCATCCGACTCGTGTAAGTTGTGTAGAGTTATGTGACCTTGTTGGCTCGCCAGACGCTAATATATGAAAATGACCGACATTCCGAGTCCTTTCCCACCGCGTACTGTACCATGGATTAATGGCCCCCCGCAGCCCGGTTGGCAACTAATACGCCATTAAATGGGCATATTGTGTACAAAGTTGCTACAGTCAGAGAGCTAGACCCATATGATCTTGGTACGAATGAAATGCGAGAGGCAGATACAGCGTACAGCCCGGTTGTGTGAACACGTGAAATTGCCTATTGCTAAACTTGACTTCGTAACTTAACCTCCTACTTATGCTCCGTCTCTGTCTCCTTCGACCGCGAGCGATTTTATTCCGCGCATACGCAACGTCGCCGTCACCACATGCCTTGTTGTTCATCGAACATCAAGGCGGCGAGGTGGAGTCGGCGTCCTTGTCGGCGTTGACGGCTGCAGGGCAGCTTGGAGGGAAAGTGACAGGACTGGTCGTCGGTGGACCCGGAGAGGTTGAGGGTGTGGTGGAAAAGGCTCGGAAGTGCGCGCACTTTTTCTGCTTGGTGGAATTTTAATTTTAACTTTGCGCGCAAGGTTGAAAGGACTGAGTAAAGTCCTGCATTCAACATCGAAACTCTATACTCCACCTCTTCCCGAAACCGTCTCTCCCCTCCTCCAAAGTCTGCTGTCACAAGGATCACCATACACACACGTCGTCTCATCACACTCCGCTACCGCCAAATCCCTCATCCCCCGCGTCGCCGGCAAGCTAGACATCCAACCCGTGTCCGACGTCACTTCCGTCCAACACGACGCATCAGATAACAGCACGACCTATACGCGGTTAATCTATGCTGGAAACGCCGTTGCAACGGTCAAAGCCCCGGCGGATATGCCGCTCAAGTTTTTCACCGTCCGAGCAACGGCTTTCACCGCTGCTTCACCTCAAAACGAAGGAGGGGAAGCCGAGGTCGAGGCGATAGATCCTATAACACCCGAATCATCACCAACAACACACGTCTCCACCTCCCTCGCGAAATCCGACCGCCCAGATCTGGGCGTGGCGAGCCGCGTCGTGTCAGGTGGACGGGCGCTGAAGAACGCGGAGACGTTCAAGGCGACGCTCGACCCCCTCGCGGACGTCCTTGGCGCTGCTGTCGGCGCGTCGCGCGCAGCTGTGGATGCTGGGTACGCGGACAACTCGTTGCAGGTGGGGCAGACTGGGAAGGTCGTGGCACCTGAGTTGTACGTTGCGTTGGGGATATCTGGTGCCATACAACATTTGGCGGGGATGAAGGATTCGAAATTGATTGTTGCCGTCAATAAGGTTCGTAATCTGCTATGCGTTGTTCTCTGTTGGTTAAATATTGATTGTTTTTATTACCTGCGTGGTAATGCAGGACGCGGACGCGCCGATTTTCCAAGTTGCAGATGTGGGTTTGGTAGGAGATCTGTTCGAAGTCGTACCAGAGTTGGTTGAGAAGCTCAAGAAGTGACTATAAATGTGCACGCATCTTGGTGTGATTGCTTGGGAATTGTGTCACATTCACATCCCACAACTGTGCGACCCTCTCTCTCGGAGGGGTGGTGAATACCTTTGGAGCGTTATACACGCATCAAAGTCACTCATATTGTACACTTAACGCTTCCTAATTACTACATACAATTCATCCAAACAACGTTTGATCATGTGGAGTTCCGAACAACCCTTCTCTCCAACTCTTGGGCTGCCTCCACTCCGCCACCTTCTCATTAATCTTCAGCGTCCTCGAGATAGCATCAGCAAGTAACGCCGCATCCGCCCTGTTATCGCCTTCCATTACGAACTGCAGTATGCATGCAGATGGAATGGACCATTGAGTGGGGAGCGAGGAGAGGAACCTGCGTGATAGGCCGCCGCCTGGGATGAATGGGACGTCGGTGGACGGAGTTGGGAGTGCTTGGCTGGCTTGAGTGGTCGGGGAGGTGTAAATGGGGAGGTCTTTGATCCCTGAGAGAGCCGTGGAGTCCAATGACGGAGATCCATGAGGGATTATCGCATACGTCGGCGTACTTATGCACAAATCATGAATCAAAGGCAGCGGACAGAATACGACATAAACGACCCACTGCATTTGAGCGTCTGTCCGGTTGGACAAATCAACGCCAGAGACGAGCAATACGGCGCCGAATTTGAATTCTTTTGCGAATTCCATTATGGAGGTTATAAATGACTCCTTTCGTGCCTAATTTCACCAATATTAAATATTGAGGAGCGGGAAATGCGGGTAGATGTAGTAGTACCTTGAGAGCAGGCGATCGTTGTTGAATCACGACGAAATCGAGGTGCTCTTTGCCATAAACTACAGTATGCGTTCAAATATCAGTCACAAACTCGGACCAGATGCAAGGAAACAATGCTGGAGACATACGTTCCAACGGCGTAGTGATGCCATTTTCACCATTTTCCCTTGCACCAACTACTGGTATCAAATCTCGTGCGTCAAAGACACCTATTTGTTGGAGGTCGAGGGTGGCGATGAGGAGATCGGCAGCGAGCTGAGAAACGTTTGCTACGGAGACCACGGGCTAGAGCGACGGGTTTGGTGTCAGTTTGAAGGAGAATTTTCTGAAGAACTTGGCCGTACGACAATTAGAGTCTTGGATTGAAGAAACTGAGGATTGGCTGCCAGTGGGTAGAAGAACGTCATCGTTATATTTCGAGGTGTATATGCGGCTGTGTCGTCAAAACGATCCCAAAAAGGAAAGCTGACTGTCGGTCACCACGTATTTCAAAAGATAAAACGAACGCAACGCGATGTGGGGGTACTGATATTGAATAATGAAACAGGTCCAGGATCGAGCAAAAGACGAGGGTATGCAAAAACAACTCCATGGCGGGGAATCGAACCCCGGCTTCAAGCGATCCCTAGCTTTCAAGCTTGACAGGCTTGTGTACTGACCACTATACTACCACGGATACATATTCTAATTATCACTGTTGTATTATCAACCACAACCTGTTTCGATCAGCAGCGACTGCTCAATTTGTGCAACAACGCGTCCAACCACGATGTCCGAGCAAAACACGCAGAAAGACGAGGAGATCGACGAACTGGATCATTCAGACTACGGAGATGCCGAAGAGTACGACGTCGACCCAAACGACCCAAACGGGTTCAGGATCAGGTAAGGCTTCTTTGACGGTCAAATTGTGCATTTTCACCATGTCAAGGTCAGAGACCCGTTGGACGTGCCACAGGCCAAGGTTTACACGACATATGAACTCCACAAGATGGTTCATGAAGGATTCATTGACTTGAGCCCACCGTATCAGAGGGGTGAGTCAGACATTCAGATGTGTGTATGTCGATGTGTTTAAATGTTCTGTTCTTGACAGACGTTGTCTGGGGCGAGGCGAAGCAAATCGCGTTGATCGACTCTATTTTCAGAAACTTTTACATCCCGCCTATTCTATTCCTCGTGTCAAAACCGGACGATGAGGATTGGGATCGTAACGAGGAACTTCGGGTGTGCATGGACGGGAAGCAGAGGCTAACGTCAATACAGAAATTTTTCGACGGCCAGGTACGTGTATGTTGTTCTGTTCGACACAGCACACAGTGCATGTTAATTGCCTCCCCTTAGATTCCTCGTGAGTTGTCGGAATTATTACAAGAAGCTGTGTTTTAATTTTTACAGACAAGGACCCAGTCACGAAGAAGAAGTATTGGTTCACCTCCTCACAGTCCGCGAACCGTTTGGAGATCCCAGAGCATTTTAAGCGTATCTTCAAAGAAAAAAATATCACGTGTGGTATGTCTCTTACTTCTACAAACCCATCCACATGATAAAGCCGTTATTCAGTTGAGTACAAAGACCTTACACCTGGCACAGAACGCGATATCTTTCAGCGAGTGCAGTTGGGTGTTAGTCTTACAGCTGCTGGTGTGTGGTATTTTTGTTCATAGTGACTGTCGAGCTGACGAATATCGACAGAAAAATTGAAGGCGGTTCCCTCCATCTGGGCCGACTGGATCATAGAACTCGACACGAAACATATTTCCAACGACGACGGCCTCGCTACATTAATCCAGTGGGACACTAAGCGTGCCCGGAATTTCCAGTGCCTCGCCCAGCTCATATATTGTTATGACAAGTTACCCACACGAACAGAGCCTACAGTCGCGAAGTTGGAGCAGTGGTTTGTTCGCGCAGACGGTCCGTCACAGGAGCTGAAGGCTGCCATCGAGAAAGTTTTGGTCGCATATTGGACAATTGCGTCGGCCAACCGTCTGAATGCCGCCTTCAAGCAGGTGAAGAAGAGGGTCGCACCCGTAGAGTTTGTTTACATTGGTATGTTTGAGCCCTCACTCAATTTGGTCGAAATCTGATCAATGGGCAAAACAGGCGTGTTGCTAGCCGTCCTAGAAGATTGTGATATTGACCACAAAGCAAAGGAGGTACATAACTTGCGCAAGTACGTCCGCCAAATACACAAAGATGTGCGCGCGAATACACGCGTCGTCAAGACGTTGTGGGATTACATCGAGACTGCGCAGGCGAACACGTTGCAGCTCGTAGGAAACGGACCGAGCTCTACCCTGGGTACTCCAGGAAAGAAGAGACGTAAACGGGGAAGCGACGATGATGACGATGACGGCGAATACAGACCACCGCATATCAGGACATTGGGGTCAGCGCCGAGCACGAGGGCGAGGGGCCAAAAGTAGATGTACAATTCTCTCCTGACCTCCACTCCAAATCTCTGTACGGTTTCGCCTGTAATGCCGACGTGCTAGGTACGCCGTATTTTGTTTCCTGTACCTATTTAACAGTACAATACCTTGTGATAAATGTGATCACCATCCAACAAATACAAGAACCCATCGGGGATTACGACACAACACCTCCTTTCGCTGTGTACCAAGTAACTCCAGTTGCGTCTGTCGTGCTCCTTGCGTATTTCATGAGCATCTTATCACGGTCCTTATTGTCGACGGCGATGTCCGCAAGAAACGGGGCGATGTCGTCTGCTTTCCAACGTGACCTGGTTAGGAAGAGATCGGACAGACGTTCTGCTGGGCTGAGAGGTAGGCGTGATGAGGGGAAATAGGTGATGCGATGTGAAGCAGTTGAAGCGGATGGTTCGGACAAGTAGTTCCCCTGCTCTTTGTGTCAACCGCAATTAGATAGTCCGCGTGCATGATAACATACCAGGAGGTGTGCCATGGACACTTTTGTTTCAAAGGTGTCACCCACAGCGTCGGACCATTTTTTCAACAACTCGTCTTGCGATAGAGGCTCCTGGTCATACATTCAATAAAGAAATGGTCCGATAGTTTTCATAGAACTTACGGAATGAGCGCGCAGTATACCCAGTCCAACCTGCCTTACGATCGCCTCGATGTCTGCCTTCCACTTCATAGCCGATTTCACCGCCTCCGATGACAACTCTCCGAACCATGACATGACTTGCATAGATATATCTCTGCGGATCTCGTGGTCGTTCTCCAATGCGTCGGCGAGATCCACAGCTGAAGCTGCATCGGGAGATTGCGACAATGACACGAGAGTTGTCAAGAGGAGCTCGAGGACTGTCGTGAGGTATGATGGTGATATTGGACGCAGTTCGCCATTCACGACTAAGACGTGTTTTTCCCTTAATCCCCTGTCCAATTCGCAGTCGCTGGCTTGAACATCCATCTTGATATCTGAATACGTATACCGTGCTCGTTTATTCTGCCAAAGAATATCGCATGAGAGCCTTTGAAGGATGACATGCGGAGACATACTGGTCTGTCATTTCTGTAATCATCGTCATCTTCAAGCCCTTCATCGTATTCACAGTCCTTCAATATCCCATCAATTCTGTGAAGCTTCGATATGGACGGAACGAGTTCGTAGATTTCCTGAATGCTGTCGCGAATCACAGTCTGCCCAGATTCTTCCCCCTCTGGTGAAGTCAGGACGCAAAACGCGTTTGAAAGCGTGACCGATCTGATGTTGTAAGTCTTTTCTGATGTACAGAGCACCGCGTCATCGGTTGCGCGACCCTTCACTGTCAGGCTACTGCTTCGTGAGCTCTAGTTCCATATGTAAGTCGTACCCACTTGGATTCTGTACCATCTTGCATCACGGCGAACAATTCTGGAGGTAATTCTAAAAGACAGTAACATCCCGTACTGGAATTGTTTCTTTGAGGGAAGTGAAGGTCGATGTCAGTCATCTTTTGGTCCAATCCAGGTCGTGGTGAGTGAGTGTGCTGAACGCGAACTGTCACGAGTGAATGGTCTTCTTGTCACGTCACACCAATTTCCTTTTTGCAACTTCTCAACTTCTCAAGAAACCGACTCGTAATTGACTGGAGATCCTGGAAGGGATCGTGTGTCATCACATTATGAACTGGCTTCCGCGCGGCCATGTTACCACTTGTCTTCGATTTTACTTCCGAAGACTTTGGAAAACTTCCACAACGAAACATCATGCAATCCATGTCGGGGCATCGTTTACCAGGACTCCAGGAGCCTCAAGTTCTTGGCCATGACGGCGTTTACTAACGGAAGGGAATTTGGATGTTCTGTTCTTCAACAGAGTTATCCCCTCGTTCATAAAGCAACATGAACACGGTGTAAACCACGGCGGTATGCTCGATTACGTTCAGAACTGATAAAACTGACCGGATGTTGTGCCAGAGCAATTGCAACGCAACAAACCCGGCGGAGATGAAGGTTTTTTGCAGCGTTCTCAAGTTCACTTCTGGGAATTTTGGGAACACGGGGAGGTGACGATGATCTCCGCCCACCCGCGGTGGATATATCTCCGTGGGCTTCCGGTCCGATGAAATCCAAGTCATGGCAATGTTCTTCAAGACAGTAGCCTAGACACCGTCGAACTCATCGTTGCAGCGACGTTGCTTGCCTGTCGTTCCGTGAAATCCCTTTCTTACGACTCGGCTACGATGGTCCCCTCTTTGCCGACCGAGCGCCTCTCACACCAACGGGGGTATTGCCGGTGTGCCGGCAACTATTTTGATCGGCTAATATAAAGTTGTCAGATGTCTCCGTCCTTTCGGGTCTTTCAAGCACTGCGGTTCGCCAACAAGCGAAACCCTCGTCCACGACGCAACTCTATATTGACTTCAACGTAACGCTATCCTCCCACGAAGGTCATGTCGGGCCACACCTAAATGATGTCGGATTGTCGGAATGTCTAAGAAAACTGTCTAAGACGTCCTCTGGTCCAGATCAAAATGCCCAATCGTATAAATACCCGGTGGTCTCACCCATGGACACTTGAGTTATCCCTTGTCACCTACGATACAGTGAGCATTGTCTACGAAGTACGAACATTCGTTCTGACCGACTGATCCTGTCTTCATTTATCTGGACCCCAAAATCTTTAGAATGCCCCACCACCGCCGGCGCTCAAATGCCGTTACTTTTTCGAACATACCTCAATTGTCTCATCGACCGGTCGGACACGAGGCAGCGATGTCTTCTACGAAGCGAACTATCTTCACCTATGCAAAGCCTCCAAGAGACATGCGTTCCGTTAATGGATCAGATAAGCATCAGCCGCACATATCCAGGGATTACAAAATCATCGAGTTCACGCGAAATGATGAAGCGTGCCTCGACGAACCCCGTCATCGGCAATGTCAGCATAACGCCATGCTCTCGAGCAAGGATACAACACATGACCCGACTTCTGTGCTTCAAACAGAGACCGATACCAGCGCAACAGTCTGCGGACATCGACTTGGTAGTCCGCACGTAACTCAGGGTCCCGCAGGATCTCGAGCTGCCCGTCACTTGTCTGGAATTCCTGGGCCTTTGAGGGCTTCTTGGCCGCACGCTGGTGTCACCTCATCTCAGCTAAGGCGGACAAATTATCTTCTTCGATTTGCCGAACCTCCAGCTCCTTACACAGCGATTGGCAAGGGCTTGCCAACTCGCCGCGAGCACCACTTGGCCACGA